CTGGATGTTATTATCATTAGAGAAGAGGGTAAGTTAGAAGATATGTTTATAGGAAGCCAACATATGTTGGCTCTTTGCTTAATTTTATTTCCAACCATAGTTACAAGACTAATGTTGGAATTTTGAAGTCAATGATTCTTAGAAGTATGCGACTAACATATATCAAACATTTGACCAAATAGCTGCAACGGCTGGAAAATAATTATCCTTCGGACCTTATTGAAAATAATTTCTCTCTACTGAGGAATAAATTTTTAGACGGAGACCATTTAATCAAAGAGAGACAGACGGAGACCTTTTCCCATGTTTTAATTTTACCATCATGTTTTCGCTTAAAAAAGATAGGCGAATTAGTGAAGAAGTGGGGCATAAAAACAGTGTTTAAAGAAACCCTCATACTTTCTTCTATTATGCCATCTTTTAGAGATAAATATGACCCATTATCGAGATCCGGCTGCTACAAGATTGTTTGCTCATGTGGACGATGTTATGTTGGTGAGACTTGCCGACCAATTTGACAAAGATTGGTGAGACACAAAATTGATTGCAAAAGTAGCTGGGTCCAGCGGTCAGAGGTGTCCGAACACATGGTAGAAACTGGACATGACCTTCGCCTAAGGAGATGAAGGACTAGTAGTAGAATTTTTCTACAATGATATGAGTTGAGCTGACGTTTCCATTGAATTTCACATAGCCATGCTTTCCCAAAAGTTGTTCTCATTTAGGGTGGACTGCAGTTTTGACCTTGCATTTGTCTTATCAACGCCCTCAGCGGTAGTCGAACCGCGACAGTGCAGGATGGGAGCTTGACACGTTAACCATTCGGCTACACTGCCACGAGTACCCTTGAGTCACAGGGCATAAGTGAATTTTAAGGAAGGTCAGGCCTCTTTTCTATATCATATTCTTTGGTTGAGAGTGCCGATTAAGCAAACGTATATTTGCTATAACAATTCATTACGTTATTTATTTTCGTATTGGCGGAGAGTTTCGAGACTACCAGTAAATAAATAAATCTCGAAACTCTAATCCAATACGAAAATAAAATAGAATGGTCTCAAATTAATTGGCTTGCTGATTATGGTATTTCTGTGGTTAAAAGAAAGATAAGAGAGGCTTTTGAAATTAATAGCTTAGGAAATACGTTAAATGTGAAGAACGGTGGTATAAAGTTGAGTAGGAATTACTTATACTTGATTGATAGATTAAAGGAAAGAGAGGGTGTTAAGCCGCCGTCCAAAAGAAGGCGACTCAATTTGTCTGTTCGTTGATAGTTCTAACTTACTCACACTAGTCCAACATGTTAGATTAAGCTTATCAACCAAACCAGGCGTACCAGATTACGCAGCCCCAGTCATGCCTTTTTAAGGGGGCTTGAACGTTAATGACCCTAGACTGAGATGTTAGGACAAGTGGTTTTGTAATTTTACTGGCATGCTTACAAGCTTACATATAATTATCTCAACTATACTTACTTACGGACTTACGCAGTCTCGATTAGGGCTTTCTTTGAGGTCATTAGGCCTTGATGATCAGAGCCTAACATTAAACTTTTGATAACTCTGATTTAAACCGGTATCGCGTATAGACGCTAATACACATGCACACACTTGAGCAAAAGCAGCAGGACCTGTATGAAAGATAATTAGCCAAACGATTCTATAACGATGTAGGTTTTTAATTTTCTTTTGGCTTAACTGAGTCTATATAAGAGGTAATAAAAAGCCGGATAGTATTCTTGGCCTAGTGTTAACGTTTGACTTTTACAAGAATGACACCCAGCTCTGATGATTTCCATTATATGATTGAGGAAAGCTCAACACGTTTTCATCCGAAACGAGGGAGGAAGTCTCGTGGACTCTGTCAACATGAAATTCGTATACAAACCAAACTGCTGCAGTGCAACGAGGTTCATCCGTCCTCATTTGGTGAGATCGACCAACGAATCTCTTCATGCACTTTCATACGAAATGAAGGTCCCCCTAATAACAAAAGTTGGTCGGAAGGAATATATAAATTTATCTTGCTACTACGTATATTCAGCTTTATCGGATTAAATCCTTTGAATGTGTTTATACGATAAATGTAAATAGGAAAAATCCCTGCTGTAATGAATGTCCATGATAAAAAATCGTGACATTGCCTATTATCAGCTGCATAGAGGAGTAATCTAATATGCTCGAGAAGTAGCTTATCTAATAATAGTTTATAAATGCATATTTAATAACGGTTGTATATACACACATGTATTTGCTTGCTTGCATGTGTATGTATGCCTGTATGCACGCATGAGTGCGTGTATGTGGAAAGTTCATATCATTTTGACCTGGATCCACATTTTACGTAAGATTTCGCTTTAGAATTGCATCAAAATTTATTTGCTTTACTTTTACCATAGCCTCAATTTATATTAATTTACTATATAGCTAGCCATACTCTCTTATCAGACGCTAACAATTTGCCTATTATTTATGGTTCAAGACTGTTTTGAGTTGGATAATATTTCTTTTGGTGATTTTCCTTTTATGATGCGCCCCTTCAAAATTCAGGTTACTTGTTATGTCTACTTCACACGTATCGTTGTCTATCTACTTTGCATCACTATTCCATTTTGGTCGGCTTGGGTTGTGGAGCTTTTCAAAGAAAGCGTTATGCTTGCCTTCTGCGTGGCTGTGGGCGTCAAATTTCGACCTATCGACGACAACCCATATCTACAATTGGGCTCTGAGGATGAAGAGAGTGACCCTGGCGAGGACACTCTAATGGAGTGCATTCAGATTGAGTCTGCGTAAGCAAAACATGTGCCTCCTGTTCTCGCTCATATTCATAGATTTTTTTGATGGTAGATAAGTTTCAAAAGCAGGTACGGCTCTGATCTCTCTATATATTTCTTAATCTGTATGGAAGCATGAATACTATAAAATTTTATTTATATAACCACTTTTTTATTCCTAGCGCTATAACAACTCAAAGTTAGACTGTTATTACTGAGCAGGCAATGCAACTATCCTACATTACCAAATGGCTTGTTAAATTCCATCAAAAATACTTTTCTGCAATCTAATGAGGAAGTGTCATTAGAAAACACTCAATGAAATACCTTATCATGCCTCCATTCAAAAATTAGAGGAAAGTTACTTGGCTGAGAGGCGTAGGCTATTAATAGATAGTAAGTCTGGATTTAGGAAGAATCTGGACAGGGTTCTCACTCCGGTGGACTTTCAAAAACTTAAGGATATGACTCGTCTTAAGTCAGAAATGGTCCGATATTTGATAAATAAGCGGCATGACAAGAACTTGCTTAGATATAGGATAGTAAGACAACGCAAGATCAAGAAACCCCAGACAAATTTTGATGTTTCTGTATTGAAGGCATCAACTACCATAAACAACGATGGGGATAAGGTAGTAAGCCTATCCTCAGTCCCTCTTGATTTTGAAACTATGAATCCTAAAGAAAGGGTTGAATTTTTTCTTAGGTAACGAATGAAACGATCTAGGACAGTGATTCACAAACTGCGCGCCGCGGCGCCCCGGAAGGCGCTGCGAAATATTTTAAAAGCTTTAATTTGAGGAAATGTGCAGTGATTTGCAGGCTCATCCATCACGTTAATTATTAAATATTAATTTAATGTTAATAAAGTAAAAAAAAATAATAAAGAGACACGAGTTTTATTTATTTTTATCTCTTACTTATGAATAGTCATACTTGGGGTAGGGCGCTATGGAAAAAAATATTAATTGACAAAGGGCGCCGCGACTGAAAAGTTTGGGAACCACTGATCTAGGAGATAATATTGTGGAGGTCGTGAACTTAAAGGAAAAATATTTAGAAAAGACAAAGCAGGAGATGAAAAGGGAAATAGTCCAAAGAATCCTGACAAATCAAGAGCGAATACACAGAAGCGGATTGACGCAAAAAATTGCATAAGAATGATCAAATAGTTCTTCAGGCCGGTAGGGGAGGATTGATGGTAGTAATGGACATGAACCAGTGCATAGAGAAAATGGAAAGTATCCTAGGCGACCGGATCATATATCAAATAATAAGGAAATTTTAATAATTAAGATCAATGGTACACTAAAGGATTTGCTAAAGGAAATACGTAATAACGGAGAAATTGACAGATGAATGATGAAATCTTTAATTACAAATGACGCAAGACCACAGATAGCCTACGGACTACCGAAGATACACAAGGAAGGGAAACCGCTAAGAATAAGTCAACAACAAGCATGGAACCGCACACAAGCTGTCGAAACTGTTGGTAAGTTTCGACGTACAATCCATGTGCACAAACATATCAGGCGAGAAGGCGGTAAGTGCCCTGCATGAGATATTGGAGCGAGAGGAAGATATTCTGGAGGCAGAAAGGATAGGGAAGGAGTCGATAATGCGACGGATCAACCTGACAGTAAGGACCACTTATGTTACATTTAACGGCAGAAGAGATACCACAACTGTCTAGCAGACAATTTTTCAAAAGATCGACTTCACTTGCCTCTGACAAGTTGTAGTGTAGTGCTACGAATGGCAGGGCTCACTGACGATGCCGGCGAAACGTCTAAGAATGTACCTAGTCTACGGTTTAACTCTTGAAATTATCATGCTTGCTATGGACCCCGGACTAAATGCGTTCCTTTAGGTCTCCCTGTCATTATGACCAAGTTGCGAAAACAAGGTCAAACATCTACAAGTACAACGAAATAAGACCTCTACCATTTAAAAGGCCACATCATCTTGATCTTCATACCTTTGATTAAACTATTCTTGGTTTAGTGATTATGTCTATTTTGAAGGATGTCCTAAAGAATCTTATGTTTACTCCCAATTTCTATTTCTTATTTTTTTGCTGACTTTCAATTTGGTATGAAAGTGCTTTATTACGTGATCCTTAAGTCGATAACACTATAAGACGACGGCTGATTCCCGTTTTAATGCAGCCGTTTGGCCTTAATACTACTTTCAAGTTGGTACAGCATGTAGAACAGCCGGCCAGTCTTGTTGACTTAATGTTTAGTTGTGACTTGCACGAATAAGCCCGAAACAAAGGAGGATGTCTCATGGACTGCGTCAACCTGAACGCCGTATTAAAGCCAAACGGTTTCAGTACAAC